AGCAACAACAGATTATGATTTGTTTGTTTGTTTCATCATTTATTTGGCAATGCCAACACAAATAGTTCTATAACTGGACTGATACTGGACTGTTGCTAAGCAACACATAAACATTTTCCTGACCTGCACAGTGCACACTAGCTTGTTACTTTGTCCTTTGGTGTGCACTGAAGTATCCAGGCTTCTTCCCTTCATCCTCTTCTGACGACCATTTCATTCAAATGTTATTTCTGGAAATATTTTCATCTTTGTAAAGTTTGTTACAATCTAAGACAGATAACGACCGTTAATGTGACGCTGATTAACGGTTAATAGAACACCTGTATCACTCCACTTGAGTGATACATGTAGTTAAAAGTCCCAGTGCTGTTGTACTCTATATCAGTACTCATGGAATGACTCGTCCATTCAAATTATTTGATCAGAACTAATTGTTGTATAATGTACATCATACAAACCATGTTGCTTCCACTTACTCTCTGCTGCTAGTGTCCGGAACTCAATGGAGTAGTCCACTACCTGTCCACTTACCTGTTACACATTCATCAATCCCTGCACCGCCTCCCTCCCAGTAGCAGAGTGGTTGAACACCTTCCTCAGCTGTGATGTGAACAGTTTGACCAATGAGCAGATGGAAGACCAGCTGTCCAATCAGCTGTCCTCCAGATTCTCACTAGGCTGTCAAGCTGCAGCGATGTCAGCAACTCTGGTTCGTTCGGTGGGAAACGAAGGTTGAAGCTTGAAAACCAGAGAACACTGAGTCAGGAACGGCCTGCATGCTCCACACCTGTTCAGGTGGGGACAGGTGTGGTGTGGGGGTGGAAACCACCAGAGCAGGAGCGAGGACTGGAGACACTGCAGGAAGAGGCTGGTGAGCTGCTGATTGATGGACCGCAGGAAGCTTTCATGTGGATGGAAACCTCCTGCAGTTCTCCAGCTAGCAAAGACAGTTGCTGCTCATGGTGGTGAATGACCTGAACAGTGAGCTCTCTGTGTACAGGTCCCGAGTCCATACAGACAGGATGGTACTGTCACGACTCATTCCTGCAGTGTCTCCAGTCCTCGCTCCTGCTCTGGTGGTTTCCACCCCACACCACACCTGTCCCCACCTGAAACAGGTGTGGAGCATGCAGGCCGTTCCTGACTCAGTGTTCTCTGTTTTCAAGCTTCAACCTTCGTTTCCCACCGAACGAACCAGAGTTGCTGACATCGCTGCGCTTGACAGCCCAGTGAGACTCCGGAGGAACAGCTGATTGGACAGCTGGTCTTCCATCTGCTCATTGGTCAAACTGTTCACATCACAGCTGGGAAGGTGTTCAACCACTCTGCTACTGGGAGGGAGGCGGTGCAGGGTTTGATGAATGTGTAACAGGTAAGTGGACAGGTAGTGACACTCCATTGAGTTCCGGAACTAGCAGCGAGAAGTAAGTGGAAGCAACATGGTTTGTATGATGTACATTATACAACATTAGTTCTGATCAAATAAATTTGATGGACGAGTCATTCCATGCAGTACTGATATAGAGTCACAACAGCACTGGTCTTTTAACTACATGTATCACTCAAGTGGAGTGATACAGGTGTTCTATTAACCGTTAAATCAGCGTCACATTAAACGGTCGTTATCTGTCTTAGAATTGTAACAAACTTTACAAAGATGAAAAATATTTCCAAAGAAATAACATTTGAATGAAATGGTCGTCAGAAGAGGATGAAGGGAAGAAGCCTGATACTTCAGTGCACACCAAAGGACAAAGTAAAAGCTAGTGTGCACTGTGCAGGTCAGGAAAATGTTTATGTGTTGCTTAGCCAACAGTCCAGTAATCAGTCCAGTTATAGAAACTATTTGTGTTGGCAATTCCAAATAAATGATGAAACAAACAAACAAATCATAATTGTTTGTTGCTATAACTAACAT